GTGGACGCGAATCCGGACCTGGAGCAGAGATTCGGCGATTTGAAATTGGAATGCGATCGACTGTTGGCCGTCATCGACAGAGAGTTACCCGAACCGGAGGAGAATGCCGATTGCAGCGTCGAATCTGGTGCAAGTGGAGGTCAAAAGAATTTGTCTGATAGGATTGGTTGTTTGGAGGCGAAGCAGAAACTCTCCGAGGCCGCTCCGTGCGTCCAATCGAGCGTCAGCGTGCGAAGCGTCAAGTCGGACGTGGACGAAAAGTACCCGGAGAATTGGTCGCGCGATTCCCTCATCGATCTGAACACCGTCGTCAATTTACCTCCGGTTCCCGAAGACATCTTCACTTGCTTCTCCAATAAACCGACGAGGACGTCGAGTTTGTCCAGTCTGAAGGGAATGCGCAAGGTGAAGCTGTTTCTGCAGAGGGCCGCAAACAATTCCGATGATGAGGACAGCTCGGACTTTGATGAGCACGATCCGGTGGTCTGTAACGAGAAAAACTGCTTTAAATTGTGTTAAGTTAAGGGTATTTCAGGGCGACGGCGAGGATAAGTGCACCAATTCAACGAAGAAACTTCTTCTGGGCAACATCAAAGAGGAGACGCAACAGGATTGAGGCTATTTTTAGATCGAAGACAGCTAAATTGATAAGGGGTTGTTGGCAGAAGTGGTTGAAAGAAATTGGACATGGATGATGAATGTAATTTTCGTCCGTCGGGATTTCTCTCTTTCTCCTTTCGTTTTCATGGATCAATAGATTATTTTCCAGACATTCACACCCTCCTCTTTTCATGGAAACTCAACTTTTGTGGACAAAGAACTTCCTAATGTCTTGTTACAATCTTATCAAATCGTTCATTCATAACATCTACACCGCAAACAACACGAGACTTGTTTCAATTACTCAACGCAGATAACGCTCATTATATCTAATGAAGTTTTAGACTTTTGAAAAAGAGAACATCGAAAATGACAGTAAACAATTAGGCGAAAGTGGTTAAAACAATTAATTAAATGTGTAAGATGTTTTACACTCAATATGTAAAAATTTAATTAGATTCAATTTTGGAATTACAAAAAAAAAATCGATTTTAAATTAGGAAAATCCAATAACTACTCGATATCGTATGCAACCAAATGTACACATACAAACAAATTGCAGATTACTTTAAAAAAAAAAATACTGTATACAAAAATTAGATTGAGAAAAATCTGTATTACTATTACTTGTTGATGTATTGACAATTTAAAGTTGTAGTGTATGCAACCAAATGTGCTCATCATCAAGAAAATACAATTGAACAACTGTCAGACTGATAATAATTTAAAAACAAAACAAAAAAACAGGAATGGAATTAAACAAAAGAACGATCAACAGACTTAAAACAATTTCCCCGTTTTTATTGGAGAAATAAGCAAAAGTAAAATTTGTTAGTGTTACCATGGTTATATTATTAGTTGTTGCAAAATCAACTGTTATATTCACTCCAAATAAAATAAACAAATAAATAAAAGTTTTCTTTTGTTTTCCTTATATTATTATTATTATAATTATGATATCTCTATCTTCGTCTCCTCGCGTCTACATTAAATACAAATACAATCATTTTCGCTTCTTCCTCCTTTTTTTATTTTATTTTAATTATTTTCGTCTATGAAAAAATATATAACAACATTTTCGTCCTTCCTCCTAAAACTAATTATCTCATTTATTTTTAGCTTCCTATATAGTTGATTTTTCTGTTTTTTCGTTAAAAGGATTATTAAAAACGATAAATCTATACAAAATAATAGTGATAATATATATATATAATGCAATATAGAATTTATTTTTTCCTTTGTTTTGTTTCTTTTATATATGGATATTTTATATTTGTAATAAATGCTAAACTATTATTATTATTTGTTTTTCTTTTCTTTTGTTTTTTTTTTAATAATCGTACACATCCAGAAACAATTTTCAAACGCCCAGTCTCCTCCTACTAATCGGCAATCTTTTGTTTGTTTCCTAGCAACAGTTCTTATTTTACTTCAAAGAAAGAAAAAAAGATTAACGAAAAGTACGTATAACAAATTGCATATATATTTTTTTTTGTGTTTGGCAGTCGAACGCAGGAAACTTTTGAATTGAAAGAACAGTACGAAATACAAAATAAATCAAAACAAAAAAGTTTTATAGACTAGAGAAATGTATATAGACAAAAAAATAAAATAAATCCAGTAAATGCCAGATCATCATCATCAACGTATGTAAAAACTAATAAAACGAATTTAATTTAATTTAAAAAAAAAAAGTGTGAACAAACAGATTTTAAAATGAATCAAATAAACGGTAATAACAAACAAACTGTGGTCGCCCAACGACGGAAGTACAATGAACCACAGCTTTTATTATTCTCCACAAAACAAAAAACAAAAATACGTAAGAGACGATTACGCTTCGAAATTGAAGGGGTTTGGGGGGGTGAGAGTGGTGTCAAAACCGCAAGTGAAGAAAACCAATCAGAATGAATGAAAACAAAAAAGGGGCGGGGTTGGGGTAATAAACAAAATCTATCTACATGCGTCGTGGGAGTGGCGATGGGCGGAGCTAGCCACGCCCCCGCGACGCTCAAGTATTCTCGTAACTAGTGTGGGTATATGTGTTGTTGTTTTGTTACTCTTTTTGTTTTTTTAAGTCAGCAGTACTCTTTGGAAATTGCTGTTCGTAATTTCGCTCTCTTATCTGACTTTGTCCGTGGCGTTCAACACCTTCATCGCGATGAGACCGAAGGCCGTGGCCGCGGCCAATCCGAGTCCCGCCTTCCACCACATCGCCGAATCCGTGGGGAGAAGTCCAAAGTCCCGCAGGTTTCTAAACAGAAAAATAAGCGTTGATTAGCGATTCACCAGGAAGAACTATTATTAAAACGTAAACAGTTACATCAGCATACACAGAAACAAAACAAAAACATGCCACGGATTAATCAATTGTTTTTCCAAAGAAAATTGAAAATGATAGAGTGCGTAAAGCGTGCTACGACACTGTTTAGATATCGCAAATGCATGGAACAATTTCATTTATTTTTACAATTTTCATTAAATTAATTATTCCAAACACTTTCAACATAAAAGAAATAACTAATACTTACAACAACAACGATAAAATAACAAGCTGTTACCTTAATACGAAACACATCAAATCATGCATCAAAACTAATTTACACAAATATTTTTTTTTTTAATTTTCGTTTCATTTTTTTTGTCTGGTCGCCAATCGAAGTTAATCAAACCCTAATGTAATTATTTTTAAATGTTATTTGTATATACTTGGTAGTTAGAAAAAAAATTAAAGAAAGGAAATTAGTAATTGTAGAAAAGATGAAAAACATTCAATTATTTCTTCTTTTTTCTGTTGCTGTTAATGTAATATTTAGTATTAAGTATATAGAAGGTATAATAATAATAAATCTGATTTAATAGCAACCTGTAAAAGTGACTGAACCATTCTGATGGTTGCGGTCTTAACAACAACATGTTTACCATACGCCGCAAAGGACTGCAAAAAGAACATAAAACAGGTATATCACACAGAGTAGTGCCAATATTCTTTGTACATTTTGATATTTTAAATATGCAACGTGTTGTAGAGTTGTAAAAGAAACAAACAAACAAAAGTATAAAGTATGCATCTGATGATTGTCGTCTCTACAATCATTTTCTCGTGATATTTCGTTTTTTTTTCTGGCTCTCGGACTTAATGCGAACTTTCTAAGACAAACCTGTGCTTATAGAACAAGATCCAGGCGGCTTGAAACCGTCTGAGCGTGGGATGAAAAGAGAATACAACAAATTAATAACTTTGTATAAACCGATTATTTCTCCGCTAATTTGCAGATAATGTTATGATATGTAAATAGTTTCGTCTGTATCGCTCCCAATTCATTTACAATATAAATAGACAACACAAATGTAATCAAATTATTACGTTACAAAATAACTAAATTTGGTTTCTAGTCGAAATAAGCTTAAAGAAAGAGACATGGTTTTATAGAATTTCAATCCACTAAAAGTTACTCAATTAATAATAAGGGGAAACTGCTCTAAATCTACGAAGAAATCTAAAGTAAAAACAACAACAAATGAAATCCCGCGTTGGTTCGTGGCCCACTCAGACTCCTTTTTGTAGGGTTGGCTAAAACATGTAGCGAAGAACGTCAAGAGTACTACATTCTTTAGATAACCCCACAAAAACAAATCCACGAACTTGAAGATGATCAAAGCCCCGACCTGCAAAACGCTCGCATACCAAACACATCCAAACAAATCATGAATTGGGAGGAGAGATTTACGCTTTCTTCTAATATTTTTGCAGTAAAATTGACTCGCGGTTTATATGAAATTATTAAGTAAGTTTTGCGGACTTACGGAAACGCGGCCATCGTGGCCAACTTCGCGAAGACATCTTTCCTCGTGTGTCCGCGAACGCTGAACTGCTGCGGCGGCAGGATCTTGTACTTCTGACAGAAGAAGGCCGGCTGCAGCAGGTAGTCCTGTCTGACATCGTCCAGGTCGCTCTTCGACGCCACAACCAGAACGGGAATCTTGCTATCAGCAAAATATTTCTGCACAGAAAAATATCGAAATTGAATACGTTGTTGTTGTGCGAATGTTGTCAATTCATTACGATGAATATCCTGGCGATGTACTCGAAAGATTTGGGATCGTTCCTGTCGTACATCAAGCATGCCACGTCGCAGTGGACCTCGTGCGGTAGCAGAGGATCGGACACGTTTCGCACGTTGATATCCCTCAGCACCATGATCTTCTCCTGACCGTACACCTGGACCATGTTCACCGTGCAATGAGGGCTGCCGGCGATGTCCGGTTTCACGTTTTTCTGCAACCAAACCAACAGCAAAATTAACATATTTTTGTCAAAACGCATTTTGTGTAAAACAAAAAAACAAACAAACCTCGGTCAGTGGTCGTATGAAACTTTTGCAGAAGCTGGATTTGCCGGCGCTGTTGGGACCGATCACGTGGCACTGGTACACGTTCCTGCTGGACTGCTTCTTGATCAAGTCTAATTTCTTTTCTCTCGTGACTGCAAATGTGAAAGTACCGTCATTATTACCATGATCGTTGTAAAGGAAATGCGATTTGTTGTAATACGCACTTTGTACGGCTGTGACTTGCGAGTCGTTCTCGTAGATATTGTAGCCAAGGTAGGCGAGGTACTCGAAAGTTCTTGGTAGATCTGTGAGCGTCATCAAAGCCCATTGGCACATGTAGCCCTGGTAGGTGATCCAACCTTTATCGTTGGTCGGCACCATATCGCTAACGTCAGGTCCCCAAGGTGGAGTTGGGCACGTGGAGAAGAGCTCCTCGAATTCGGTGGGCGACAGAGCCTGATCCCTATCCTTGTCGTGTCTCTCGAAAATGTGCGTCAAAAACTGCTGTCCCCTGTGAGACAGCTCCGTCGAACATCCACCGATGATCTTGATTCTGCACATAAAAACAAATTAATCACTTGCTGTTAACTTCTTGTTCAAGTGAGATGCGTACGTGGGGAAAAGGTAGTCCTTGGACATGTTGAGGTTGTCATTGTAACCGAACTTTCTGAGTACGGTCCAGGTGGTCTCGTTACGTCCCCTCTGGATGAAGAGGCTGTGCAGGTAGAGGAACCCCTTCAGATTGACGCAGTTGTGCGTGACGCCATCCTCGAGGTTCTTCCGCAGCACGCCTTTGACGTCGTCGAGGACTTGCGGTTGCAGGGGCGTATTGAAGCAGCGGCTCTGGAAGTTGTTCAGCTCGATGTCGTTGAGCAGACCGTCGCAGTCGATATCACAGATTTTGAAGATGCGAACGAGCGCCTTCCTGCACGCGTCCGTCAGCTGAAATCGCTAATGATCAGTCAGAAGAAGATGGTTTAAAGCGATTCGCAAAGAAAAAGCCTTACGTCGGAGCTCTCCACGGAGTAGATGGGCCCCGTCGGATGGAGGACCGCCTTCTGTGCGTAGTAGAACATCTCCGAGATGTTCTTGAGGGTTCGCGCGGAGCATTCGATGCACGTCTCCACCTCGGAGTATTGATCCATTATCGTGTACACGCCCTACGAAAAGAAAAGCATAAATATACTCTGGTGTCTATTCACCAATAAAACTGTTACCTCTATCGTGGAGTACTCCACCAGGTCGATCTTGTTGCCGACGAGGACGACGGGCACCTGGAAATCGCCGCAGACCTCGCGGATGTGCGGCAACCAGTACGTGGATATCCTGTCGATCGAGTCTTCGTCGTCGACGGCGTACACCACGCATATGACGCTCGCCCTTTTGATTTGATCATTCAACTCGTCGTCGGTCTGATCGGCTGCGGAGTAATCAACGATGTTTGTCGGCACCTGTTCAGGTGTAACGTCTGCTGGTATGGTGATCTCTTCTGCTCTGGTGGGCACATTCTCAGGGAACTCCTCGCTCACCAGCGACAGGATCAGCGAGGTTTTGCCCACTCCCCTGTCGCCCAGCAGAAGTATTCGAACGTTCCGCTTCGGCACAGATCGAATAACCATCCTGCAAAACACAATTAACACAATTAACAGTTATTACTAAACTTAATATTTTATCAATAATTGATATCGAAATAACAAATTTTTGGGTTTACAAATTGAATAATATCTATTAAATACAATAATCAACATCTCAATATCAATTTAACTCGAATAACAAATTAAACATTTGAATATCGTCCTTATTGTATGGATCAAAGCGGTATTGAATTTGTTCAGTTATTCATCAGATCGAAGCGAGCGTTGATCAAGGATAGGTCATGTGACATTATACACCACACACGATATCTTTGCAGAAGACAGTTTCATATTTCATTACATCCATCACCCTAAAAACAATTACTTTCTCTTCCCCCTCAAAAAAAAAAAACAAGAAAATTGCGTACATTACTAAAATAATATTTTAACAATATTTTCAATGCTTGATGAATCCAAATGGATTTTATGACCCAGATTAATCATATTTTTAGAATACACACTTGCTCTAAACTAATCGTTTTTTTGTGCCTTCGAAAACTTGATAATTACAAAGAAAAACAATCGAAAAATAGCAATGACCTAATCGCAAATTTACAACTTAACCGCATTTTTCAACGATTCTAATTAGATTCCTCGCATTGTAAGAAACAAATATGTCTAAAACAATAATAATAATAGGATATGAAAAACTGTCGAGATAAGGCAAACAAAAAAAAAGGACTTACGTAATTGAAGTATAAACAAGGCAAATTTAATTTAAACAAACAAACGTCAAATCGGGATTTCTTATGCGTTTGAGAGCAGTAGTTTTTTTTTTTTTGCAAACATAGATAAAAATAGATTGTATTGGAAATCTCCCATGCTCGGATTGATAATACTTATGTAAGTGAGGTTTAGATGATAGCAACAATTGCTGAATTCAAATGAAATGTATTAAGAGTGTTGAAAGGTTAATTAAAATAAAAAAAAAACAATTGCATTGAATGAATAGAAAAGAAAATAAAAGAGAAAGCGTTGGTTGCTTGATTGGTTTTTGTTTTCTCTACTTGCAATGGTTTGATAACAATTAACCTGTAAAGTGGAAATTGAATAACTTCTATCTACCTAACCTGTCTTTTTATTTTTTTTTTGGAGCAGTTCATTGGGGTTGCTACCATCAACCCCCACACGTACACACAGTTACCTAACCTCACCCTGTCTGCATTGCTGCTCTCTCCCATTCTTTGTTTTGCTTTACGTAATAATAATAATAATAGAAGTGTGATTAATCCGGTTACCTGTCGTTTCTGTCGTTCTGCGTTCCTATAAGAATGTCAAATGAGTCCCGGGGTCAAAGTGCCTCCCAAATCGCGTCCACGGAGAAGACTCAGTCTCAGCAACTCGCATAGTAATAACACCTGGTGTTGTCGAAGCACATGTCCCACTCGAAGAAGACGTTCAACAACTGCAACAACGACACACAACCGGTAAATTTTACTAGAGAATGTCAGTAGAGTGATTTTTTTTTTGGCAGTTCAAATCCGGTTGTAAGAATCATTCGAACTTTACGACTCTCACTCTCTCTAACTCTCGTTATTTTGACAACCCCTTCGATGCGGCCCCGGCCATTCACTAAACGTCAGTGTGGTGTGGTGTGTAAGTGGAGAGGATGGCGCGGCGCTAGAGGTTGGTGCGGCGCGACGCCTTCACCGCTTCACGTGACGTTCGAATCGCGGCCAATCCGTGGGTCGGACGTTAAACGAGTTGCAGCGACGCAAAACGAGGCTCGTCTCGTGATTGGTTCACGTGTGCGTCCATCTTTGCGTCGGCCCCCATCTCTGTGCATCTCCCGCGTCGCCTGCAATACAAAAATCGTGGGGGGGCTATTAATATCCATCGCTAAAGGAAACGTGAACCGCCAAAACAGAAATTTAGGAGCGAATCTCGTTGCTCTATTACTACTGTTATTACCATTAATTCATCCACTGTCTTTACACAATTAAAATGATTTATTTTAATTGCTACACAACAAATCCAAAATATATCAATAGGAAACGAGGAGTGGATATTCTTCAAAGAAATGTAATTGTATAATTATGTAAACTGTGATATGGTAAAATATGGTTGCCTAACAATTTAAATATGCCATCTAGCGACATGTTACGAACTACAATTTATCGCCATCTATTATGAATTTGGAAAATTTAAAAATTTATTAGCAATTATTATTATAAACGCATTTTACTCCTAGTTTTTGATTGTTGAAAAATGAAATAATAGTAAAAAGGTAAACATGGGGGGCAAATATGTATAAAGTTTAGTAAATAATTTAAGGTAATAATTAAGCTTAATATATTTTTGGAAATAGATTACAGTTTACCTTTATAGTTAATGTCAATTTACCTGTTGCTTTACATCAATTAATTTGCGTGTAGATTCCGCAGAACATATTTTCCGGACAATATATGAAAATCATCTGAAAGTTTAGTGTAAATTTAATAATGCAGTTGTTGCAGTTGATGGAAGGAATTTACCTTGAGTTACAGTTTACTCTTTACATCGATCTTTGCTGATAGTTTCGTGTTCACGTCGAATTTGTCGAGAAACTTGTTGACGACTTTGGCGATCTTCTCCGGTTCGTTCAGATGGACGTGATGCGATCCGAGGATGTCGTGCACCTCGCAATTGCGACTCGCGTACAGCAGAACCTTGTAGAATTTCGTGAACTCCTCTTCGTTCTCGAAATAAGGACTGTCGTCAGTCTTCGTGATCAGGATGGGAAAACCGACATGTCTGCAGGCGAAAAGACAATCCTCTCTGTCCACCAGTCTGAACGAAAAGAGATTGCAGCGCGTGTCCCTGCTGAAATGGTAGGTGCCGGGATCGTGCTTCGATGGGACGACACCCTGATCGAGCAGGTAGCAGACGTTCTGCAGGTCGATCGATTTCCCCGACTGCACGTACATCGTTCTCTCGAGCGTACCCAAAGTTGTCGTCGGCGGACCTTTCACCAAATCCCTCTGGATCACAAGAGCTCGCTCCATGTCTTTGTAGATCGTGTCCATCTTGTTGTGCTTGGGCGGAAACGGTGGATAGAGAGCGTCCAGGAAGATGGCCATGTCGCAGTTCCGTGGACAGATCACCGCGTAGATGAACACGATCGCGGCGCCGCTCGAATGTCCCATCAACGAGACACGATCCCACTCGAAGAAGTTCTTGATCAGGTGGATGGTGAGCAGCATCATCTGATCCGTGTACAGCATCCCTGACGGCAGATGACTGGATTTACCGTGTCCCGGCAGATCTATGGTCAGGAAGCCGATCTTGTTGCTGAGCATCGGGATGAGACGGTCAAAGCTACCGCAGTTCTCCTGAAATTCCCGATAACTTAAAAAATACATTTAACAATTTGAATAAACAATTCACCTTGATGGCGTGAATGACGAGGATGGGTCTGCGATCTTGAGGACCCCACCATTTCCCGCACACGTTGCCCCACGGCACCTTGATCTTCACATCCACGCAGGCCTTCGGCTCCGGATCGTTGTTGGCGAAGAGTTTCGTGATGTTCGGCTTTATGTTCGAGAGGAGTTTGCGGGCGGCGCTCAGCATGATACTTTGCTAACGGAAATTTTGTTCTTCACATGATGACGTCCCGAAAACTGCGTTGACATCTGATAACCGAAAGACGTCTATCAAAATTAAATCAACACATACAAAAAAAATAAAATAATTACCAAAACGCAGCAACAACATTTCCAAAAGTCTCATTAATCCAAACATGTTGCTCGAACTAAAGAATTAACACTTTACATCACAGCTTGCCAAGAAACAAAAGCTCACCTCCGAAACGTGGTGAATTCCTCAAAGTCACGTAAATCTCTCTTCAAGTTGCAACAAACTCTCCTCAAGAAGATTGGTTTCGATCTTGGTTACAATCTGAATACAAATCGAGTTAATAAAAGCGATTACACTTTGCAAAGAAATGCTTACCATTATCGTGCGTACGCGTCACCAGCAAACCTTTGTTACTATGTTTCCCATAACAACGTGTTTGTGTTTTCCACTTACATAACACGCAATTGTTTGTCCAATGCCAACGTTTTTAATTGCAATTCTACATTTTAAATATTTTTATACACTTGTTTTTTGAATTGAAACAAAAGATGGTAGAAAGGAAAAGGAGATGAGCAAAAAATTGGTCAGAAAAGAAAACCAATAAATTTCAGTCGAAAGTCAAACATCATTTATTACAATAATAATAATAATAATTCCAAAACTAATTGAAACTTGAACTAGGAGCAATAGAAAATTTTAAATGAAAAACAAATTTTAAAGTAATATATAAATGTTAAAGAGAGAAATTAACAAAAAAAAATAATTAAAAAAAAAACAAACCTATCCGTGTCCATCGTGTTTAAATTAAAGAGCAGAAATTAACAGAAATTGATTGAGAAATTATAAAGAGTAAAAAAGAAAAATAAATTAACAAGCGCATATCGAAGACGATGGCACACACAAACACAACGTACAAAATATTATTATCTTTTGTTGTTTTTGTTGTTGTTAAAGAGAATAAAAATAATGAAAAGCGATACAGAGCATGCCCATACCTAACAACATTTCTATTTTGTTCTCTTGTTTCAAAAGTTGCTTCGTACATTATTCATTTATTTTATTTTTTGTCCGCCGTTCACAGTTACGACTTTCTTTTGTTATCTTTTTTTGTTATAATTATATCTTAACACTATTTTCTTCAGAGCTTATATTTGCGAAAGGGCACGTGGGCGGCGTTGATGGATGTTTTCTTTTTTCTTGCTTGCTTGACTTGAGAAACTTGCTTTTTTTTTGGTAATTTGTTTTTTTTTATTGGCACGCTCTTCTCTCACACTGAGTTTGTTTTTTCTTATGACGGGGGGGCGGAAGCAGAAGAGAGGTGAGGAATGTAACGTAAAAAAAGAAAAGAGAAAAAAAAAACACAATTTTAATTCAGACGGCCATTTGGTACGTTCACAGCGGTTTCTTCGGCTTACCTATCGTATCGTGCGGTTTGTCTCTTGATTATTACTTTTTTTGTTTGTTTGTTTGTTTGTTCTTAAGGATGAGAGAAAGAGTACTGCATATTGTTTCTGTTTTTGGTTGATCAAGTTCGCTTCGGTTACCAAGGAGATGATTGTTTGGTTGATTTATGGGCGGGGTCTTGGATGTTACCGCCCTTTTCTCCATCCATATATACACGTAGATGTAAAAGCCGCGTGCTTCGTGATTATTTATTATTTTTTTCTTTTCTTTTCGCACGAAGATGAACAGAAACGGTGGACGACGACGACGACGAACTTCTTTTTTTGCAGTTTACCCTTTTGTGTGTGTTTATGTGTGTTTTTTTTTTCACTCGTTTTCTTCATCATCATCATCATCAACATCTCCTCTCACATTTGCATTTTGTATTCGTACTGAGAACTACAGAGCGTTTCTTGCGTGAAACCTATAAAAAACAGAAAACTGAGGAGGGCACACACGCTTCTGACACTTGAGGAGAGTGAGTGAGAGAGAGACAGAGAGATCGGAGGAGGCTTGAGAGATCTTGAGAGCACATAGTCAACTGTTTCTTTTTTGTTTTCCTTTTTCATTTGTTGCAGAAAGCACACAACAACAACAACAACACCTTGATTTATTTATTTTTTTCCGGTGTTTCATTTTTTATTTACCTCGTCGTGACCTGAGGACTCTCTCTTCTGACAGAACGCACAAAACGGCCGATCTTTCCCGACTTGCAAATCTCTTGCGATCATCATCGGAGAGGTTGTTTCATTTTTTTTTTCAAACGAAAAAAAAAACCGTCAACTTTCTTTTCTCTTTCATTACTTATTTTTTTTTTGTTAAATTTTTTTTTTTTTGGTTCAAAACATTTTCATCCAACACCTCGTTTTCTTAACCCTTTTCAAAAAACAAAGGAAAACAATGCATTAGTGCCACATTTATTACATAATCACCTTATCATTAGATTAATAACCATAGTAACGTAAATATTTATGTATAATAATAGAGCAATAAAGAAATCATAGAGGGAGATATTAAACATTATTCGTATATATTTTTTTTTGCTTTACATTATCATTATCATATTATATAACTTCTCTAAACTAGTAACATCATTCAGTTAAGGTCTCTCGTGAAACAGCAGAGGGCGATTAATGAAGAGAATGAATTGAAAAAAAAACAACAAATATTAATAGTAATAGAAAAATCAAAAGTGTATTCAGTGTGATACAATAATAATACTATATAATTCCGGTGATGGCACGAAAAAACAATGTTTGGTTGCGCGAAGAACTTCCGTTTTCGATCGACAGAAACATCGAGAAAGAGGGGGCGGGGCGAAAAATAATAATAATGGGCGGGGTAAAGGAGCGACGCCCACCCGCCGAACAATGGGCGGCGTTTACGCCAAAAAGAAAAACTTAACTTATGTACACTAAACATATCAAAGAAAACAAATATAAACCTAACCTTATTTATTTAATTTCTGCCATCGAAAACGAAAACAAAATGAAAAACCTCGAATCGAAAAGAAATAAACATCTCGAAACGCGTCGAAAAAAAAAATAAAACAATAATTTAACAATTTGAAAACTTTCAAAGAAAAAAAATAATTTTATATATATATATGCATAAATATATAGATTATTGTGAAATTTAAAGTTAATCCTCGATTTATGAAGGTGGATATTCCGGGAGACTTAATAAGGACCTGCAGAACGAAGATAAACAGAAAATAACGCCAAATGAAATAAATATTAAATTTAAAAAAAAACAATTAAATTAAATAAATATAGAAAAAAAAAACGTGTGTGGTGTATGTGTATATGCTGGGAAGCGCGAGAAGTTGGAATTTACAAACGAAAAAAATTGTGTTCGAAAACCGCGCGCAAAGTATTGAGACCTCTTCTCTAAGGGAATTATGAAATCGCGATTATATAATCTAGTGCAAGGTTATTGTATATGGAAAGATAATGTAATCAATGTAACAAATCATCATCAGTGCCCAAAATCTGACAATAAACAATATTAAATAATATTATTAATACACATAGAGAAAAATAATGGTAGCAATAATAATAATAAAAATAATAATGAACAAGAAGACAGTAATAGTATAAAACAATAAACTTAGATGGGGGTAGTTCAGTAAAAGTTGGGCGACTTACGTGGTGAGTATGACCTGGAGCGAGACCTCTCGTAACGCTTGCGTCGATAATGCGGGGAAGGCGACTGACGGTGGTATTTGCTGCGATAACCATCATAATTACCACTAAAAATATCACAAAATACTATAAAGTATTCTACGTCGCCCTGCACCGCGCACAGACACACACACCACACCACACACACGCAAACATACATATATACAAAAGACGAACATCAAAGAAATAAGCTTGAAGGAGGAATAACCGCCAATGAATACATTCGTGTAAAGCGGTCTTAAAAGTGTCATGCAAGTGTACTGAATTGGGAGAGGTTGGGGAAGTCGATGGTGCAACATATAGAAGGAGGACATAGAGAGTTCTCGTCCAATTTTTACTCGAAGATCTAACAATAGAAGGCAAACTTGATTTTATTAAATTTAGAGAGAAAAAAAAACTTGATTTGATGAAATTGTAGTGAAATTACGGGGCCGGGATTAATAGCACTAACATTCGCCAATTCCAGCACGGAAAACTTCACAACTTTAATCTTCCTGCGTTTTCTTGAAGCTCGCCTAGTTAACGACGAGCCCCACAAATGTTACAGGTGGTATATAAACGATCATTTCCAATTAAATTAATGGATGTGATGAATATTGAATGTGCCTTCATTTTTAGAACATCTCGATAAAAATTGAAAGGATGCAATTTCTTTGACGTGATGAGAAAGCTCATGCAGTTACTGTTTTAGTAGACGATGCGATTACGCAACGTGCGAAAGAGAGGACACACACTTCTGTTACGTAAGAGTTATAAAATATATATAAAGAGTAAAAGAAAAGTTTGTTTTTACTTCAAACACTCACTCCCTAGATTTGTCCCTTCGCCTGTCCCACTTCTCTGCACTGCAAATTACACAATCGTTAACTGTAATATACGCAATAATCGCATCCGGAAACGTCTCGTTTAACAATATTCAAGCAACGTCGATCGTTACGTAATATTGCTAAAGTGTAAAGCGAGTCCTTTAATGGAAGGTCTATGCGCTTTCGACAACTTCCATCCTAAAAATCCCTTTTACTTTGCTCTACCAACCCCGAGCAGCTAGTCGGACGCGTTTACTGGTCTCCGATAAAGTCATCCTCACTAACTAGTTGGATGATCCGTTTCAATCAAAGTTATTCACATGCACTCAACAATAATTGACGGGGGGGAGGTGGTGGGTCTATGATTTTTGAACGAAAAAATAAAAAAACAAAATACAGAACAAAGTTGGGAAATGGTTGGTTAGAGGGGTGACGTAGGAGAGATAATAGTAGTAATTGTTTGGTGAGATAGTTACTTACTAAGTCGGTTTTCCCATGTAAATGCCGGGTGTCGGGGTGTGTGCTCGCTGCGTGATCGAATAGTCCACCCTTATACTTTTACCATTAATTTTCATCCCGGTGCATTGTTCTTTCGCCACCTTCGCGTCCTCTACGCTCTCGAAATACACGAACGAGAATCCCCTCGAACGGCCAGTCTACAAGAGAATTCCAATTATATTTGCGTTCTAATCGCATTGATCGCGCAAAACTTACCTTTGCGTCAATAACGACTTGGACTCTCTCAACGGGTCCGTATTTGGTCATGATGTGGTACAGTTCCTCCTCGGTGCTGTATTCGCTCAGTCCGAAAACTCCTAAGCATCGGGAAGGATTCGGATTATCTCTGGTACCGTTGTGCCTCCGTCTGCTGGACATCGGACTGTGTGAATGTGACCTACGCCCGTACGATCTCGAACGACTGCGGGAATATCTGGAGGACTTGTACCTTCTCGGCGATCTCGATCGACTCCTCGACCTGTCGTACACACAAAAGCAAATCAATTAATAAAATGCAACGGATTACGGTCTTATGTTGCTGTCGTTGTTAGGTTACAAAAGCTTGAATTCTTGACGTTGCTAGGATACATTATTTTGTTTTATGTTGTTGATGTTGTTACTTGCAGATACAATCCGATCTTCTCTTCTCTTCATCCATAGTCTCTCGTCTAGCTAGCTTCACTTCATACGTGCGATCAAAAGCTGGTGCTTTCCAGATGTTTAGTTAACGTGATTTCTTCTACTATACACACAATCCTGTACCTATAGTATCTGCGACCTTCCCTGTCCCTGTCTCGATCATCTCTCCTCCTCTCGCGGTCCCTTTCTCGGTCCTCCCTGTACGACATTTTCCTGGATCTACTACGACTCCTAAAAAAAAGATAACCACAACGTTAAATGTGATAACAAGAAGAAAAATAAAGATAGAAACACAAAAAAACGCATATGAAAACCACAATGAGAATGTGCACATTTGCCACATTAAATTAGGAAAAAAAAACAGTACGTTTGCAATGACAACACGTGCATCAATGATAATGATAAGAACAGATCAATTGATGATGCCCTACGAAATTGTGATGGATGTTTTATAGAAGTGTCGTGAAGTTACGGGGCCGACCTATCGCACTGAAGCTGCGGATGCCAGCACGGAAAAACTTCACAATTATACTCTTCCTGCGTTTTCTTGAAGCCCATCTAGTTAACGATGAACCCCACAAATGTTACAGGTCTTTTCTCATTCCTCTCTTCACTTTTCTCTCTCTCGTCCAGCGTTTTCATTACCTGGAGTATCGCTTTAATCTGTTATTCTTAAGGGAATCCACGCTCCTCTCGTGCGGCGAAATCCTGTCCCTTTTAATTATTATCTTGTGTTCCGTCGGTGAACGGCTGTGATCCTGCGAAAACGAAATAACAATTAAAATAAAACTGTCGAAACGTATTTGTGCATAAAAATTGCATGCAAAACAATAACAATGGGTTATGGATGTGATTTTATGAATGAATGTCGTGGAACTACGGGGCTGAATGCGATTGTATTGCTTATAGAACAATGCCAGCACGGAAAAATTCCACTTTACGATCTGCCTGTATTTTCTTGGGGCTCACCACAGTCTTAGGTAGAACCCCACAAATGTAACAGGCTTCTCTACAAAGCTATTTGAAGATGATTGGATGCATGACGAGATTACCCAGATGTTCTACAATCGTAGTCACTTTAATTAAGCACCTTTTCTTTTCTTTTTTTTGATTAGATAAGATATTTACAAATATAATTAACAAATGCTCAGTGTGTTTGCAGAACATCTGGTAAACCCAAATGTAAGTAAAACAATATATAACGATGAAAAACACAAACGAAACACACACACATGCCGATACAATCCGACTCGGTTATAACGAATCCTTGTATAGCGAGAGCACAACAACGGCAGCATGCATCAAGTGTACGTATCGATATTTATACGGAATACAAACCGAACCTTCTAAAATAAGACTTCTTTATATCCGAGTTCGACTGTATTCAGAACAAAAAAAAAACGCACACGTTTTGTTAGTTGAAATACACACAAACAATTTGTATCTTGAGTATTTAAAGAAGATAAAGAACACAACAAGAGACATCTTCAACCAATCAAATCCAAAGAATTGTGGATTCATTAGAAATCTGGCATTCGATATTTTGTACAAATCTAAATTGCAAATAAATGAAAACCTCCTTGAAATTGGTTTAGCAATTAAACGACGCCTTGGTTTTATTCAACTCATTGTTTTGTTAGAGCTAAAACAAAGCAATCATTATGTTAAGTTTATAGAGGTAATAATGGTAATAACTTCGAAATGAACAGATTTCTCTAAAGCCGTGAAGGAATTGTTGCATTTATCAATCACAATTTCAAGAGCAAACCAAGTCATATCAATTGAAACAAGATATTGTTTTTGTTCATTTACAGTTTTATAAGCATTGAAACGAGAGATGTCAAATGTTTAATACACATCTTCTTTGCATATTTGATGCAATGCAACGAAAAAAGTTTTCCAAATTAACCACATTTTGGACATTTTCCTAACCTTACTTCACTTGAAGTGTATTTGAGCATATTTGTGAAATTTGAGATTTTTTAACATGCATTTTTTTTTCAGTATTAAAGCAAAGCTTAAGATATTAGAATTGGATCGAGTGCATTGAATTTCATGAAATGTGAGTGAACCTCGCAATAATGTCATTTGCAAATTGATAAGAAATTAAGCATTTTCTTCCAATTAGATTCAAATTGGAATGTGCTGAGATGAGAGCAACGATCAAGCAGATTGGATAGATGCCTCTTGTGGTTAAGTGGATGAAAGAGGTTGTTTATCGAGAGGTGATGAATGACCCCACTACTGACACACGAGGCACGTTACCGGAAACAAAAGACACCCTTGTTATTGAGAGGGGGCCCATGTACAGAGAGAAATAGACACACACATACGCACACAGAAAAAAAAAAGAGAGTAAAACGAAATGCGTTGCTATTGATAAAACTTACGGATCCAAGCGGGTGGTGCGGTCGGAAAGCAACTGAAAACGTGCTGCGGCCGCGACAACGAAGGAATCGCTCCTGATTATATTTGATATTTATTTCATTTTTTTATTTTTTGTGGTGGTTGTGGTGTACGGGTTTCAATATAAATAGCGAGCCGAGCGCATCCAGAGAGCAAGGAACAAAACAAAACAGAAAAAAAAGATAAACCTCGCACTGGTTTTACAAATATATATATATATATCAAAATGTTTGTGTGTGTCTGTGTATATGTATAAATATATCTACGAGTGTTGGATGTGAGTTTGTGTGTGCATGTGTGTATATATATAAAACTAACCTCTCTATCGCTCATGGTTTAAAAAAAGAACGGCGTCTCCGCTCTCCCGCGTTCTCCACCACCAATTCCCAGTCGAGAGATCGTCGTTATTTTTAGGACGGGACGCGCGCTCCGGCGATCGCAGATGAAGAGAAATAAAAAAAAAAGAAAGAAGGAGAAACGAACGAAGAGACGCGCACTCGAATTGGAACTTTTTCCTCCCAAACTGCGGCTGCAATCAACAACACCGAACTTCTCTCTTCTCTCGCACAAAACCAAACTAAAGATGGTCGCCACCGGACATTACGTACTCGCTTTTATTTACGCGCTTGTTCAATAATGGCGCATTTGCACGGTGATGCCAACGTTTAAAAAGAAATAGTGAAAACTCACGTTCAAAATCAAACGTCGAATCGTCGCCGAAAGATGTCGTGACCTGTAAATAATATTGAGCGTTA